CTAAAAGTCTTATGCAGTGGTGATTGGAAGGTGACAGTGTCTGGGACACGGAGGTTAAAGAAGCTGTTCTCTTCGTCCATTTCCTCTTCTTCCCTTTTCTCCTTCTGACGGGGCAAGCGTTCCTTGCGAGGAAACTGAGAGTGTGCCAGGTTCGTAAGTAGGTGAGGAGGGCCAAGACCTGCACCCTCTCTCCCAAATTAAACAGAAAGCCGGAGGAAACGGCTCCCAAAGGGTTAAGAAAGGGGACTGCTACCCCTGGGTCCAAGCCATATATTCTGGCATCCAGCTAGATTTGGTCATGGGCAGGGGGACCCACTTGGACCTCACTTCCACCCTTACTTCCCCAGGCTGGTCCCACAGACCTTGGCCATGGTCGATTTCTGCAGCTGCTTGCACAAGCTGAAGAGGTGGTTCCAGGGAGTCATCCCTGCCTTCCAGAAGGCCAGCCTGAGGTATCCTGGGAAGGAACAGTAGTCACTGACAGGCTGATGGCAGTGACGGTGGCCACGGCCTAGGAGGGTAGGGACGTGGGGAGGCCCGAGCTGGGGGTGGAGTTTCCTTCAGCAATCACCTGTTATGTGCCAGGCACAATTCTAGGCACTTTACAAACAACATCTCATTTAGTCCTTGCAACTATTCTGTAAGATAGGTACTATAATAGTGTATTCCCACCTTATAAATGAGAAAATTGAGACACCAAGAGGTTGAGAAACTTGTCACCATCATACAGCTTGGCGAGGTGGAGTTGGGATTCAGACTCAGTCAGTCTAGCTCCAGAGTTTCCTCAGACTGTGTCTTGTGTCCTCCTGGGCCCCACACCCCTGAGGAATACTAGAGGAAGAGGACCACACTCACCGTTGAGCAGACTCTCCTTCTCCTGCTTCCTGGTGTAGGTCTTGGAACTGACCTCTCGTGGCCCCACGGCCCTCTGCCAGTGTTCTTGCTTCACCTCCTGGGACTGGGCAACCTGGTCCCTGATTCCAAAGCACAATCAGATGGGGGACGTGGATGGGGCCCAGAAATATGGCAGGAGGTCCCCCAATTTCCACCCCCCAAGGCTCTGCAACAGGTCTTGCTCAGCCCCTTCCATTCTCCCTCTCCCCACAGCCCCTTGCTTTGCCCTCTGGGGCCTTCATCATAGGAGGACTATCCCTCCCCCAAAAGTCATGTGAGGAGGGTGTGGAGAGGCAGGTCTCCCTTTTCCAGATGGGACTGAGAACTAGGATGGAGATGGTGGGGAGGGAGGGCAGAGTGAAATGGACCCTGGAAAAGGAGGCTGGGGCAGGAGTGGTACTCCCAGTCCACCGTGGTACATCTGCTCCTCAGGGCTGAGGGGCCCTGGCCACTCCCTGTTACATCCTTGATGCCTCATCCACAATCCATCACTTGTGGTACGGTCCTTGTCCCTGCCTCCTCCCCTACCCCATCCTCCCAACTCCAGGCTCCTCCCTCCACTTGATGTTTCCATCTCTTGGGCCTACCCTCAATCCCTGTTCCTCTCCGCTCAGGTGCCCCTGTTCAGCCCTTTACCCATCCAAGGACTCCCATTCCTGGACCCCCCCTCAACTTGAGCCCCCATCTCAGGCCCATATCCTCCCACCATCTTACATCCCAGGCCTCTTTCCAGTACCTCCATCCCAGGCCCCTTCCCCATTGGAGTTCCCCCCACTCTGCCTCCACCACCATCCACAACCCCAACCCCTTACCTGCTGAGGCCCTGCATCCCTGGAGGCCTACCTTGTTGCCTCCTTCTTCTCCTCTTCTTCCTCCTCCTTCTCCTTCTCAGACAGATTGCTCAGTACCCCCTTGCTTCCTCTGGGCAGGACTGACTCCACCTCTTTGCCCTGGGCCGTCACCTGTAGGATCTCTGTGGGGTTGAGGGTCTGGACCCAGGCATCTCCCATCTTCTGGTGTGAGGGATTGTGCACTGGCAGGTGTGGGGAGCCCTCAGGAATGGCCACTTCGAGGGCACCAGCCAGCATAGAGGGTGGCCCGAGCTCCTTCCTTTCTACTTGGCCCTTGTGGCCCATCATAAGGGGGTCAGCATCCTGCTCTTGTGAGGGACAGGCCTCATCACCTGCCAGTCCCTTGTCAGAGCGTTTTGAGCCACTCTTGGTCCCCACCAGTCTATGGAGAAAGTGGAACATGGAGGAGTGGTCCAAAGTTTGGGATCGGTGGGTTGGAGCTGGGGCGTCCATCCTGAGAGGAACCCTGACTCAGAGGGAGGAGCCCTAATGGTCACCCCAGGACAAACTGCTTAAGAACAGTAGGAGTTTTCAAATTAAAACCTCCAGTTGGAAACCTCAAGAGTTCTAAAAGGCAGAGGTGGGGGTGGGGCAGCCTATGTAGGGCGTGGGAGTGGGTGGGACACCAGTTGGGGGCAGAGAGGGCAGAAGGGGGATGAGGCTGAGGGTCTGAGGAGGCTGGAGGGAGAAGGAGTAGACTTGAGGGAGGGGATGTTGGTGAGAGCCCTAGGAGGCCTGGCTTCCCCTAGGGGAGGCTGGAGGCAGGAGGACCAGGACCCTGAGAATAGGACAGGGCACTGTCAAGGACTCTGCACACACCCCTGTCCACCCATCCTTCTGGGCTTATCCTGACCCTAAGAACCATTTCCTGAGGCCAGACAGTAAGTCCTCTGTCTTCTGGGCTCCTTAGCTCCCAGCTCATACACACTCAGGTGGCTGCAAAGACCTCACTGTGTTTTCATCTCTTTACCTGCTTCTCACCTTCAGGGTTTTTCATCTCCAGAGATCACAAAGGTGCTGGCACATAGGTTGAATTTCAATGTATTATTATTATTACCCGTGGCACCCACAGATCTTATTATAAACCCAGCTCAGTGACGTTGGAGGAATTCCTGAAGCCACTGAGCCTGTTTGTTCATCTTTAAAATGGGCAGAGTCAATAGTATCTAGCCATGTGGGCTGTTGAGAAGATGTGATGAGACAGTGTTGCTAAAGTTCATGGTTCATGCATGGGTGCTTAAGAAACTTTGCCATCTTGGCCTTTGCATTAGTGTTGATTGATGGAAGAGGGAAAAGACCAAGGACAAAGACTGGGAGTTAAGGGTGGGAAAAGCCCTTGGGAGAGGGAAGCCACTGTGTCCTGGCTGGATCCAGGGCAGAGTGGGAACTGCCCCTTCTCCGGCCTGGGAACCAGGCTGATGCTGGGTGTTGCATCCGGCGGCCAAAGAGGAACTTCCTCTAGAGGGAGCTGATTTGAGGCGGCACAGCCTTCACCTCTATGGTCTGCAGCTCTGCGCGGGTCCTTCGGGCCGCAAAGGACCAGCTGAGGCGGCATCCAGACGCAGGGAATGCACTGACGCCGGCTCCTGGAAGCCGAAAGGCACCCTGTCCCAGGGAGCAGCGCCGACTCCTTGATACCCCAGGCCTGGGCCTTGCTGAGCAATCCGCAATCTAGGCCGGGATCCGAACAGGTAAGCCGGGAGGGTGCTGCCCATCCAACGCCCTTATCACAGCGCGGGGTGGGGCAGGCGCAGGGAGCTCGACAGGGGAGAGGAGGCCTTCAGGGCTTGCCTGGGTGGCTGCATTTAACCCTGCTGGGAGTCTGGCTGTGCCAGGGTTCCCGGCTGCCACCCCTTGGATTGCTTCCCATGTTGCCACGGTCCTTGGTGCTGAGAACTGGGTGCCAGAGAACCGGGTCCTTAAGCAGTCTGTGGGATGAGGGTGGAGGTCAGAGCCAAGGTCAAGAGTAGGGAAGAAGTTTCAGGGTGCTTCCTGCTGTCCAGGAGCTCTAGACTGGTCAGGCATCTCCCCCAGGAAGCATTCCACCAGGGTCGCTGGCCCAGCAAGTCCAGGAGGTGGGGGTGGAGTGGACTTCTCTTACCAGGAAGTTGGGTCACTTGGAATGGGGGGCTATGTCGGTATAGGTTGTTGACCCAGGGGCCACCTAAGGCCCCACCTGTTCCCAGCAGTGAACCCCTGGGGTGGTTGAAGGAGTTGGAGGTTTTCAGCATCCTCTGACCCTGCTGTCCAAGGGTGCCAGGTTTTAGGGGCCAGAGGGGAGGGAAGGCATCTTATCCAGGCAGGAGCTGCCAGGATGGGAGTGTGCCAGGCAAAAATCTGCTTCAAGGATGCCTAGTGCCCCACAGTGGTGCCCTAGAGCAGAGGCAGTGGGTGGGTCTGCCTTTGGTATGTCCACCTTTGGTGGAGAGCTCAGTGCATAGGTGGTCAGCCCTCCCCCACCCTTTCTTAGAGGGCTTCTGGGAACTTTCAAAGATGGCCCCAAGCCTAAGATGGAGGAGGGTGAGGGTTATGGAGGCCCTCCTGGGTAAGAGGGCTGCTGTGCTTGGTTCATGTTGGGGCCACCCTCACTAGGGCTAGGAGGAGGGGTTGTTCTCGCCAGGGTGATGGAGACATCTTCATGGAAAATTGGGCTCTGGAAGAAGGTGGAAATTGAAAGTGAAAGCTCAGTCCAGGAAATGCTTCTCTCAGGGCTCAGAGAGCTGAAGGTTCACAGGGCAGACAGTTGGAGAAACACTGTGGCCAGAACTGGGCAAAAAGGAAAATTGGGGCTGGGGACAGGAGAGCTGGTATTCGGTGTGAGGTAAGGTGGGGGCCTGTGAGGAACGCCCTGCTTCCTCAGCTCACTCCAAGGCAGGAGTTGGGAGGGGACAGGCAAGAGGTGAAGGGGAAACAGACAACCTATGAGGTTCACAAACTGGAAAATAAATTTTAAATTAGGGTTAAGTTTATAGACTCCTAGAGAATCAGAGAACCAACCTGATTTTCCCTGACTAGATATGCGGCCTTGAGCACTAACTGCCCCATGCCTCCCTTTGTCTATCTGTGAAATGGGTATGATGTTGCTTACCTCACTGGGTTAATGTGACTTTTTAGTGCCCAACACCCAGCAAGTACTCAGAAGTGGTAGAAATATATCTTTGGCACTCAGGAACTGTTTGTGTCTAGCAGACCTGAATTGGAAAACAGGTGTGTTCTGACTATTCAAGGGGAAGTGGGGCTTTTAAGAAGAACTTCATGGGTCATTGGCTAGAGGTGTGTGCTAGGTAGGGTGCAGGAGGCCCCAGGAGCAACTGGAAGAACCTGCAGCCTATGAAATGAGTCTCACTCAAGGTGAGGTGGAACTTGAGCTCCATGAAGGCACTGCTGCAGTCACACGTCCCCGAAGGCTCTGGGTGCCAGTTGAGAATGTAGAAATCTGGCTGCATACTCAGTGTGTCCTTGGCTATCTCACCTCTCTCACCCCACCTCCCCTGCAAGGTTGCCAAGAAAATGTTTAAGTGCTGATTCTGCCCAGAAGACTCCACTGGGATGAGAAGTGGCTGGAGTGAGGTCTGGGGGTGGTTGTTCAATGAGTGGGGAAGCCCTCTCTGTTATGTGGCTTGCACACTTCTCTGGGATCCCCAGTCAGTGGCCCCTGCTCATCCCCATCTCTGCTTTTTCTCACCCATCCCCACAGGCTGACGCTCTCCTCTAACAGGAGCTGAAGAATGGCATCTGGGCAATGCCCGGGTCCTCCCAGGCAGGGCTGTGAAGACCCTACCCCATCTTCCACCTCTGGTAATGGTCATCCTACTCCCTTCCTCACTCATCCCATAACTCGGAGGGTTGTCTGTGTGGGTGGAGGGAGTGGAAGCAGACAGAGCCAGCCAGGAAGCCACTGAAATGGGTACCTTATCCACAATGGAACTTGGGAGTCTGAGTGCCTGGGATTATATCCTGGCTTGTTCTAGCTGTGTAACCTTGTATAAGTTACTTATACTCCCTGTGCCTCAGTTTCCCTATCTGTAAAATGGGGATCACCTACTTCACAGCGGTGGGAGTAGGAACATTTCTGTTCCTGGGAGACACCACTGGCCTTGAACCGCCTGCAAAGGGTGGGGTACTGGGATCATCTCTCCTCCCTGACTGCCAGCTTTGATTCTCAGAGGAGCAGGTAGCCCAGGAAACGGAGGAGGTATTCCGAAGTTATGTCTATTACCGCCATCAACAAGAGCAGGAGGCTGAAGGGGCAGCCATGCCTGCTGACCCAGAGATGGTCTCCTTGCCCCTTGAGCCTAGCAGGTGAGTAGTGGGCCCATAGGGAGATTAGGGAGCAGGAGCCCACCTGGGGTCACCTTGTAAGTCCTGGGACCTGGGGAGGCCTAGGGAGTCTTGCTCTTCTCCCATTGTTGCTCGTTTTCATTTTGGGTTTCCATGCCCATCTGGGACCTCACACCCTTTTACTTTAGCCCACACCTGCCTGTTGTCCTTGGAGCCAGCCTTCATATGCTGAGAATTATGTCAGGGACCTCCATGGAGGGGGGCAAAGGGCTAGGGGGACCTTAGGCAGCATCTCTTTGCTGTGAGCCGAGGCCCCACTGTGTGCTGTGTGTCTTTCTGTCTGCTTACCCACCTGCCTCCCATCCCTATAGCGTCATGGGACAGGTGGGTCGGCAGCTTGCCATCATCGGGGACGACATCAACCAGCGCTATGATGCGGAGTTCCAGACCATGCTGCAGCACCTGCAGCCAACAGCGGAGAATGCTTACCAGTACTTCATCAAGATCGCCTCGAGGTAGCCCAGCCGCATCCGCACACATTCCAGCCACTGCCTCTCTGCTGTCTTGTTGCCACACACTGTGCTCCTGCCCAAGTGATAGGTTCCTCTGTCAGTGTCAGGAGACTTGCTTCTTGTCTTAGGTCTGCTATAACTTATTGGGTGGCCTTGGGCACCTACCTTTCTCTCTCTGGTCCTCAGACTCCTAATCTTTGAGCTCTGACATTGAGGACTTGACAGGTTAGACCAAAGACTCTAAAGGCACTGTGGGTGAGGTTGTCTCCCAGCTCCCCCGCCCAGCTGTAAGACAGCTGTCCATCCAATTTGAAACCATGTTTCACACAGAAGAGATAGTAAGATTACTAACCTCTATGAAGCCCTAGGAATAGATTCTGTTTGCTATAATCTGGCATCCAAGAGGCCATCTTGTGGAGTGGTTACGGAGCCCAAAGCTGGGTTCAAATCCCAGCTCTGCCTCTTATGGTCTTGTGAAATTTTCTAGCCTTCAGCCTTCTCATCTGTAAAACGGGGGAAGTATGCTTACAGCCCTGCCCACGCTTGGGAAGTATGACCTAGTGTTAGCATCTGAGTTAGGGAGGTTAGTGTTAAGGCCGGTTTGAAACTGGGGGTAAAGCTAAGAGTAGGTTATAATTTCAGTTAGTGCTAATGTCCTGCTCCGGTCCTTGGAGACTAACACTTCCCCCTCATTATGATTCTGGGACCTATCCTAACTTCCTTTTCTGTCCTCTCTCTCTGCTGTCCCTCGGGCTGCCAGGCCAGCAGCAACGCCCACAGGTAATCTCCCTGCTGCCCTCATCTGCTCGTTCTGCCCTCTGCCCTCTCCTTGCCATTTTGAACCTGTGGAATTGGGGGCCACACCCCAGCAGCAGCATCCAGCTCAACTGCCCTCTGAGCTTTCTCCTTTCACAGAGAACCAAGCTCTTCTCAAATCAAGACCAGGATGGGGCAGCTTCTGTGACCTTGATTCACAGCTAAGCCATTTTGCTTTCCAGTTGGGAGAGGGGTGGGGGGGGTACAGGGGTTAAAGAGAGATAGCAGGCTGCAGACTCCTGGAGGTCCTTGACAGACAATATGTGACACTCTGTCCACAGCCTATTTGAGAGCGGCATCAACTGGGGCCGTGTGGTGGCTCTCTTGGGCTTTGGCTACCGCCTGGCCCTGCATGTCTACCAGCGCGGCCTGACTGGCTTCCTGGGCCAGGTGACCCGTTTCGTGGCCGACTTTATGCTGCATCACTGCATTGCCCGGTGGATAGCGCAGAGGGGCGGCTGGGTAAGTACCTAACAGCTGGTGACATCTATGCTGCTTCCCTTCCCAGGCTCATCCTGTGGGGTGGGGAGAAGGACATCTGTTCTGTCAGTCCCTCTGACCACCCTGTCTCTCCTGGCAGGTAGCAGCCCTGGACTTAGGGAACGGCCCCATCCGGAATGTGTTGATAGTTCTGGCTGTAGTTCTACTGGGCCAATTTGTGGTACGAAGATTCTGGGGTCCCAGCTGAGACTTCTGCCTGGACTTCAAGCCTTCCTCCCCTCCCCTTCCCTTCCCTCACCTGCAGGGGTCACCACTTAAGAGTACAGAAGCTTTAGCAAGTGGGCACTCCATCTCTGGGGGGCCCCTGCCCAGGGGTCAGTAAGGCTGCAGGGATACCCCAACATTGCATGGTGCTAATGAGCTCCCTCTCTGTGCTCCATCCTGTCAGAGAGGGGCTGCAGCCTCCTACTTCAGCTCTATAGGATCCCCTCAGTCCTGTCTGCTGGACACTGGGGAGACTGATCACCTGGAGAGACAAGAGGTTGGGAGCCACTTCTCTCTAGGAAGTTTTTAATGGTTTTAGCTTTTTATAATACCCTTGGGAGACCCCTCTCGCCATTCCTACCATTCTGTCCCAGGCCAGAACATTTTGTGGGTGGGAATCAATAGGCCTGCCCTGTGTATGCCAGGATTTGGCTTGTTCTGGAAGGTCAGAGCTTGAGAACTGAGACTACAGCCCAGCCCTGGCTCTCTCTACACATCAAAACCCTGGGCCTGTGGTCCTCTACCCCATACTACTTTTTTGGTTGGATTCTCAGGGATTCTGGGCCTGGGGTGGGGTGAGGTGGGGGGATAGTGTAGATACGAACTTATCTATCAGGACCCTCCATCCCTACCTCCTGAGGGTTCTATTTTCCCCTTTCCCCTCACCTTATAAACACCATTCACTACTAGTGAAAGTCCCTGCCCCTTCCATCCCTCCATGTAGGAAAGGGAGGGGCCTTGGGCAAGTGAAGTGCTGTGACCTTGTCCAGACTACAGGGTTCAGGGCTGTGGTTTATTATTGTCAGGGAAAAGGGGCAGGGAGCTCATCTTGAGGTTTCTGAGTGGAAGAAGGGCTACAAACACCACTAGGAATCCCAGAGTTGACCCCTTCCCCTCCCTCATGGCCTGGGCACAGTGTAATCTGGGGGTGAGCATGGGGGGACTGTGAATACTTGAACTCTACCTTTTCATCCACTCCCCTTATCCCCTTCCCCCTAGTTCCGTACATGCCTTGGCCCTTCCTTGGGGCGGGGAGGGTGCCTTGTCTATCTTGAAAGCCTAAGGGTTGGGGCTAAGGGAAGAGAAGTTATTGGTTAAGCCAAATGCATGGGGGGCAGATGGACCCCACCCTGTGAGTGTGTTTGAAAATAAACTGTGCAATCCCCTGGTTGGTTTGTTGTATCCTCTGGAATGGGAAAGTCTAGGCATGCCTGGCATTTACCTGGTTTATTACTGAAATCAGGTATTCCCCACAGGGCTGTGTGTGGGTCTCCATTTTCCCCAGGCTCTGCTTTGTCCTTGGTCTTTCCCCACCTCCTCTCTAGCCATTCCCCATGCACCTCTCCCATCTCTTGGCTTTCAGTTTCCCATACCCTTAGGAAGTCAGGCACCCCAGGCTCTGAGCCCTGGTTGCAGAGCTGGTGGAGCTGCTGCATGTGTCCTGGGGCCCCCACAGGCCACCTTAGGCCTGGCCTTAATTCCTCTCCCTCCCTGGGCCCAACACCCACACTTGCCTGAAAGGCCCTGCTCCTCCCTGCCTGGCTCTGCCTGGGACATAGTGTCCCAGTCCCCCCTTCCTGATGTCCCCCACAGCCAACACACACACACGGGGCTTTTCATTCTAGGGGTTTTATGCAGCATGGGAGTCCCTGTGGGTACGCAGCCAAGGGTGATAAAAATAACAAGCATGGGGGCGTTTAAATGTTCCAAAATGTACAAAGTCTTTGCAGTCCTGGGCACCCTGGTCTGTGCTTCAGATTCCATTCCAAAAAGGACTCACGCGCTTCACTTTCATGCCCCTGAGGACCCGCTTACCAAACCCCTTGCCTCTCCCACATAGTCCTCAAAGAGTACACATATGGATGCAATCATAGGGGAAGGCTGCGCTTGGAGAAGGCGCTGTAGGCGTGGTTGTTAGAAAAGGTGGTTGCTCTAAAGTGCTCCACAAATCTACGGGAAACGCTTTTGGACATTTTTTTAACACTTATTTTGTGCCATGCCTGATGCTAAGAGTTTGTCATCGATGATAATCTATAACAGCTGGTGACCTTGGAGGCCTCAAACTTCCACTTTACAAACAAGGAAACAGGGGGGGGCCTTCCCAGAGTCGCCCACGTAAGTAAGGGCCGGGAGCTGGAACTGCCTAGAGGTTTTAGGACGCCAGAGGGGTGGGGGATGGGGACAGCTGGTCCTGCGAGCACAGACTCGCCAAGGGTAGGTGGGGTGGGGCTGCAGTATCATTACTCTGCCTGCGCATGACTCCGCTGAAGAGGGTTGCCCGACTCTAAGATGGCCGCAGCAGCATCCGGCACGCTTGCGTACCGTTTCGTGGGCGGAGCCTCGGGGCGGGCCTCCTCCTCCGCCCTTCACCTGAGTTTTGACAGTGAAAATAGCCTGAGGAGTCCAGAGAAAGGCCAGTTAGAGCTGGAAGAAAGGCTGGTGGGTGGTGGCAGGAGCTGCGGTTTTCTCTTCCCTTCCAAGAAAGGAGTTGGCACGTTATCCTGAGGAGCCCCAAGGGTTTGTCCTGTATCTAGCCCGGCCCCCTTCACTCCACCCACAACTCTGCAAGAATGAAGTTTTCTAGAACCTAGATCTGAGGAGGATTCAGGAGTTGTGAAACCCGGAGAGTGCAAAATTAGGAGGGACAAAATAAAGGCGGGGGCTGTAGGGTTAAAGGGGAGCAGAAGGGTTCTGGAAGTACTAAAGAAGTTAAATCAAAAGGACTTGTTTGTACTCCTCAAAATTTGTGGCCCTTCAGAAACTGTGGTTTCATTACACCAAATAAATCTGGATTCCTCGAGCCTGAGCTTGGACAAAACAACTGTGGTAAATGAGCAGCTTTCAACTGTCATCTGTCATTTATTTCTGCAATTTCAGTATGAATACCTGCTCTTCCTTGTACAAATCAGCCTCACTTTCTCTGCAACCCCCACCCTACGGTTCTACATCCATGTGTTTGCAGTTTTGCCTCATCTGAAGAAAGTATATTTTAGGTCATTAGGTGTATATCAGGGAGCTCTGGTAGCATAGTGGCTAAGGCACTTGACTGCTAACCAGAAGGCTGGCGGTTCAAACCCACCAGCCACTCCTCAGAAAGAA